AAGGTCTGGGCATCAACCTATGAGAGAAGGCTGAAAAAATTGCATTTACTTAGGAGAAGAAAAGACTAAGAGGGAATATAACAGTTTTCAAGTATATAAAAGGTTGTTACAAGGAGGAGGAAGAAAAAAATGTTTCTTTTAACCTCCAAGGATAGGACAAGAAGCAGCGGTCTTAAATTACATCAGTGAAGGGTTAGGTTGAACATTAGGAAAAACTTCCTAATTGTCAGGGTAGTCAAGCACTGGAATAAATTGCCTAGTGAGGTTGTAGATTTCCAACATTGTTGATTTTTTAAGAAGATGTAAGGCAAACAACTATCAGAGATGATCCAGATAATACATTAGTCCTGCCATAAGTGCAGGAGACTGGATTAGAAGGCCTCCAATTTTATGATTATGTGCTAACAGGTACAATGGTATGCAAGTTCCCTCCAACGCTAAACTACAAGCTTTTTCCGGAAGAGGAAATGCAAATGTAGTGCTCATTTGCATAAGTCAGGCTCTCATTTGCATAGTCTCATCTGATTCTTTTTACGGAAGAGGTTTTTACACAAAAAAACCCTTTTACGCAAAAGCCCTTCTTTTTCATTTTTTGAGGAAGAAGGGCTCTTGTGCAAAAAAAACCTTTTGCACAAAACGGACCCATCTACACCCCCAGCAGTGCCCATTACTTCATGCTCACCCCTTTCTAGGCAGGTATCAGCAGTCCTCAGTCTGTACACCTGTTCTGTGGCCAACTCTAGCCCCAAAGTCTAGTCTCATGCCTCAGGGGCAAGCTGCAAGCAGTGAAGGCCACACTCTTGGTAGCAAGGTGTGGAAAGAGGGGACCCAGGCCCAACCACTATTTTGGGTGACAGTCCAGGGACCTTCTGGCAGCAGCCTTGTCCTGCCCTCCTTCTCTCCCCCTTAGCTGTTCATACTCCCTGAGACACTTTCCCAAGACCCTTGCACCTTCTCTGCTCCCATATCAAGGCTTAGCCTCTCTCCAGTTCCCATTAGCCTGCCCAGCACAGTTCTGCTCAAGATGCTTCTGCCTGGGAATCCAGTCCTTCCCATTCACTGGTCAGTACCCAACCGCCCTTTGCTATGCTGAACAGATCCTTATATAAGGGTTGACCAAACAAGTTGTCCTTTGATTGGCTCCCTATGAACCTTTTCCCTGATTGGAAGGGGTTTGTTCAGGGTCCTTGCCCAGCCACCAGCCTGCTTTTAACCCCTCATTTGACAGAGTGGGGCAGTAGCTCCACTACAACTATTAAAGAAGGAACTACTAAATCATTAGTCTGATCTCCTGTATAACATAGGCCACCACCAGCAGCAGCTAGCACCCATACAATAAACACAACAATGGAAATGAATCCAAAGTAAATGACACAGGATATTACACTATTAAGTTCCACATGAAGAGAACAGAAGTGACAAAGGTACATTAGTACTCAAAGTCTCTACAAAAGCAGGGAAGCGATTAACTGAGATATACCCAGATAATCCTAGCAAACAACCTGCACCCACATGCTACACTGGAATGCCCTCTTCCCCAATGTTCCTGCCAATCTGACCTGCAAAAGAAAATGATTTCTGACTGGACATATAACAGTGAGTTCAAGTGAAACTAAGTATGCAGCAAAAAACAACCAAACACCCGAGAGAGAATTCTCTGTGCCACATCAGAGTCCTGACCCACTCCATTCACTGCCCTATCTTAGGGTATGTCTAGACTACATGGATCCGTTGACGGAACCATGTAGATGAGTTTACTAGACATAGGAAAATGATGCCTTGTGGAATGAGGTTTACCGGAGCAGTCCACAAAGGCTTCCATTGTCAACCTCGGAGCATCCAGACTACCATGCTGTGCCGCCAAACAGCTGATCGGCACAGTGCGGCAGCCATTTTGATGTAAATGAAGTGGTGATTATTTAAATCGCCGCTTCATTTTCCTATGTCTAGTAAACTCATCTACATGGCTCCGTTGACGGAGCCATGTAGTCTAGACATACCCTTAACCATAGCCATCCCTGATGCTTCAGAGGAAAGAAATGAAAAACCTCCCAGAATACTCTGGGGGTAGGGGAATCCCTTCCTGATTCCTGTCAGTAGTTGCCTGGCAGAAACTCTGAAGCATGTGCATTAGAAACATAAGACAAACCAGGTGTGAACTCCAGGGTTGGTGAACAATTTATATCTATTTGTTCCTATTTGAAATAATCTCCTAGTGTAGACATGGCCACAGGAATTTATCTGAGAAACTTGTATGCAAAAAGGGGAATCAGAATAGAAGTTGAAAATCTCATTCTCTGCTTGTACTTTTAATATTGTAAAGTGAATCTGCACTAAGGTACTATAGTGGCTGTGCTGCAGTAGTGTAGACATGGCATCAGTTGCAGTAACCTAACTCAAAGGCAATTATTTTGACCAGAAAATTAACCATAAATTGCTAACCAAGCCTCAACAGAGAGCATAGGGAAATAAACTACAATTCGATTATTTGCTGTTGCAAGACACATTTGATTTTTAGAAAGACTATGGCCTCTGATATATTCTTATAACTGCAGTTGCAAACTTAGTAGCAGCATCCATCAGCTGGCAGTTTAATTTGCAGTTAAATCATTGACTCACATACAAATTTAAATACAGTTGTGTAAAATGGTATACACAAAGACTTGGTTGATTCAAAGTTATCTACTATAATTTGAGTTTGTCTGTCAGTGAGTGAGTGTGTCCGTCTTGGCTGTCTGTTGATGAGTTGTATTTTGAACATTTAATGAAACTTACCCCAAAATAATAGCTTGCTCTCCCTCTTGCAGAGAAGCCCAGACTGTAGTATAGTTTGAAATGCCCCTTTGAGTTTTCCTGAAATTGTGTAGGGTAGTTGAGGTTTGCTACAGAGACTTGGTTGAGTGTGTGTACAATACTCAAATTGGGCAATACCATTGGTGGTATAGAAGCTCCCCCACCCCCTTCTCACCTGTGCTGTTCCTAAGGGTCTGCAAGTCCCAGTGCTGCTGCCCTGCTGGTGTGTGCACTGGGGGCACAGTGATGTGGGGTTATGAGGGGGGGGGGTGCAGGAGGATTCAGGGGCAGGATGGGAGAGGGCAGGAGTTGCACCGAGGGGCATGGGGCAATGCAGGCATCCAGGGGAATCATGGGGCTGAGGGAAGTGAAGCTGGAGCAGAGGGAAGATGTGAAGGGGCATACAATTTTACTTTGCAGAAGCTGCACTTTCCTTTACTTCCCACTTCTTTGCCTCTGAACCCAATTAGTTATTTGGCTTCATTCTCATCCTCTTACCTTTTCTGTGTTACTCCCCAACCCCTCCCGCTCCCAAACTCCCTCCTACCGCCACCCCATTCCTGTCCTGCCACCAAACTCCCTTCCAGACCCTACCCTCCTCACCTTGTCCTGCACTCCACCTCCCACCTAGATCCTGCACCCCCATCCCTATCCCACTTGTTGGCAGCTTGTCACTCACAGTGAACCCTCATTTTTGTTCCTACTCCAGAGCCTAAGGGAGGCCACAAAATCCACTAACTCTGGAACCCCAGAAAAGTAAATCTGGCCTATGGGAACCCCTGAACCTTAGTCCTCCCTCTCCCTTCACTCACCCCATGGGGGCTAGAGTGCCACAAGAGTGAGGGGTCTCAGTTAGGGAGGCCACATCAGTGAGGGTTGGGAGTTTGGGGAGTTTTTTGCTTCTCACTTGTGTGATCCCCAAATGATTTTTCCATGGGTCAGGGACCCCCCAATCAAAAAATGTCCCCCACCCCTGCCATAAAGAAAGAAACCATTGAAATCTATTGTGTTGGATATAATATTTTACTTTATTTAAAACGAAGTTTGCTAAACTAACCTGAGAAGGATAAAACTCTTAATCTGTTTAATAATTTAAATTAAACCATTCTCCCCAGCTGCAGCAATAGCAAAATGGGTTGAGTGTAATTAATGGTGAATTTCCATTAGCAACTGTAGTCTGCGGCAAGGTTTGCATTGACCCAGGTGGTCCATGGGGTGTGCGGTGGCAAAAGCCCCTCCCTCCGGGAGAGCGGCAAGGCCCAGGGCAGGAGGGTTGGACCTCGGCGTGCCACTGTGGAAACGTTGCTGTGACCCCCTGGCCTCCCTGCTGTTCCTGAACGTGGATTGTCCAAAGCTCTCATTTTGGGCCCAGCCCCTAGCTGCTGGCAGAGCAGACCCACCCACTGGGAAGGGCCCAGCTGCCCACTGCAGGGTAGCTCAGACGCTCCCAGAACATCCCCTACTCCCACGATGAGCCCCCCCACCCAACAGCTTTAGAGAAACCCCAGCCCGCTTGTACCAACACACCACAGAAAGGGGGGGAGAGACGAAGAGGCAGAAACACTTTCCGAACAGGCAATGCTGCGCTGCTATTGCGGGGGTGATTGCATGGGTGGTAAGCATGAGGCTTGGGAGCCACATCTGTGAAGAGAATGGTAGAGTCTAAATTTGAATGGAACAGTCCCTGGAGCTGCGTTCTCCCCGCCCTGCTCCGGCAACAGGTGGGCCTGTGGGTGGGGCCGTGTGCAGAGGGTGGCTCTGCGCCCCGCCCCCAGGCGGGGGAGTGGCGGAGGGAGTGGGTTAGGGAGGGCCGCT